CAAACACGAGTCTTGCAAGCTCTGAATAAACATTTACCCAATAAAAGAAGCATAAATTTCAAGTTACTATTATCACCAAGGACTGAAATACTCATTTGATTGTGAAGCCCTTTCGGATCCCGAAGACCCGTTTCCTTTCCAGTCCTTGGAAATGTGCTATGACAGAGTTCAGATTCAGTCTAGTACTGCTCACACAGCTCTCCTTCAGCCATCTGGAGCATGGGCTGAGCTATGGGGCAGGGGGCAAGACTGGGGCCAACTGTAATAAAGAGACAGGCATTGTACGTGCATAGCTATTCATGCTCACTTGTGCACAACATTTGAAACTGAGCTCTATGAAGCTGGTATTTAATATGTCCCAGCTCTGCTAAGGCAGCATAGAGCACAGAACACAGCAGCAACATGCATACAAAGAGCCAAGAGCTGCTTCCCCCACATTGGAGATGAGGAGGCATAGTTCTGTTCAGCAGGATGGTATCAGCATGGGTGTGTGCAGATCATCTGTTGCCTGTGTCCACTCAGATGCAGTACAGGTTAAAATCATATGCACAAGGATGATGCTTCATCTGTAAGGCATCCCTGGACAGCCAACCTGATACACTTCAGCCAGGCTCGGGGCACTGGAGCACACCTCCTGCTGGTGTGCTCACCACCCTTGCCCCCAACTGTAAAGCCAAGGTTGGAGGCTGCAGAGTTCTTTTTACCTAGAATACTTGCCACCTATCACCCCTCCCCTAAATCACCTTTCAGTACATTCTGATCCACCTCTTGAGGGGCACAGATCCCAGGATGGCATCATTCTGCAGGCCAGACCCCACAAGAACATCTAAAACTGGAGACATATGCAGAGACCTTGGGGAAAAAATGCGACTCACTCTTAACTCAAGATACACACTGTGGAGTGGCCAGTAAGGGATTAAAAAGAATTCTCTGCCAATTAAAGATGAGGAAGGCTTTGGGAGTTCTATCCTGTTCTGAGAGTGGCTTGACAAATACAGAAGTTCCTAAAGGAAGACTAAAGTAGAGAATCTCCATGCTTTTGTTTCTTTCTTGTGTTCTTTAAACAGCAAACTCCCAGACCTCTTACAGGAAATTGAGAACATTCAGGAAGCTTTCTCTGATGACCCTCAGTTTTCACTTGCTGTTTGTCACAGCATCAATCCCAAGGACTATGTGATGCTAAGCCTTGGGGGGCGGGGGCACTCCTGAGAACCACTAAAAACCACCATGCACACATAGTCTGGGGTCCTGCCATCCACCATTCTTTATCACTTGCCAGTCCCCTCTGAGGGGTTGAGAATTGTTATCCTGGGACCTCACAGGTAGTGTAGCCCGGCAGTCCCCATGTATTACCTACAAGCTCACCTAGAGCTCTTCCCATCTCAGCCCCAAAAGGAAAGCCCACAGGCTTCTACACCAGCAGCTCCAGATCAGTCAGTGTCCAGGCAACACAGCCTGCTTCCCAGCCACTGCTCCTTGGGGTACACCAATGAAAACCCCAAACTCATCCATCTCACAACTCCCGCAGCCTTCAACTGTTCAAGCAGTAGAGCCTCGGAGCTAGAGGGGCTGCCTGCCTGGGATCCTCTTCCTTTCTTCAGATATGCCTCCATGGCATCCATAAAACACATGTGAGCACATATGTGCACTAACCCCCAGACACACACCCCACCCCCATCTGTCTTCAAGGACCAGGACCAGAGAAGAGGAGGGAGCAGCAGGATGGGATTGCCCCAGATCAATGGATATTTGAAACTCAAACACATGGCCCAGGACCTACACTGCATGTGTTAATTACCACACATGTGCCCATAAAGGAGTCGGTTAAACGCAAGGGGCACAAAGAACAGAGCAAAGAGAGGACATTCCAGGGGATTAAGTAAATAGTCTGAAGTTGTGACCCTCCTCCCCCTTCTGGTGCACGTGCATCTGAGGAAGATAACAGTGCCCCCTCCCCCACTTCTTCCCTCGGGGGGGCCCCACACCTGTGAACCCAGGAACCACAGCAACCCAGACCCCCCAGCCTGGCCAGGCAGCAATGACCTGCTGCTGCCTGGCTTCCCTCCCTCTGCTATCTCTCTGGTCTTCCACCCCCCAACTCCCTGCACTCTGCCTTTCTCCTCCTCTCCTTCCAAGGCCTAATTCCTGGCTGGCTACCAGACTCTGAGCGGTGGGTCACACAATACGTCTTTTCATTCCTTCCAGGCAGAGGGAACTGATCCTTCCCAGCCCATCAGTGGGGCATATTCAATAAGGCACCAGAGTTAGGGGAAGAGAGAAGCTGGGTCCCATCCGTGCCTTGCACCCACATCCCTCGCACCCACAGACCTATGGCTCCACCTCCTTTCCAACCATACTCTTTGCACTCCCAGGGGCCAGGCCAACATCATTTGGCTGGCAAGGCCCAACTCTAGAGAGATGCCTTCTGGGAGAAGGCGCATGTGGGCATGAGCTCAGACAAGGGGCCTTTGTGTGGTCCCACCTGCTGCCCTGCAGAGCACATTCCATTCTTAAGTGAAGCTGAAAGAGGAACCTCTGCAGGTCGACACAGGATATTACAAATGCCCTCTCACACTCTGTCCCCATTCAAACTCTGGCTTCCTAGGCAGGTGTGACTTCAAGTGGCCTTTCCTACAGGTGGCCAAAGAAAAGAGGATCCTGTACCTAAACTGATCCTCCAAGTGGAGGGAAAATGAGACCCCTAGGCAGAGTTCAGATCTCCAGGGGAGACTGAGACCAAACACACACCACCCACCCAGCCACCTCCCACTTGTCCTGCCCTTTGCCTCCATGGAACCCTGCGGGAGTAAGTAAGCCAGCTATCAGGACAAGGAAGCAAAGAGCGGGAGCTGACAGTGACCTCTCCCTCTAGAGCATCAATTCTCAACCTGTGGGTCACTACCCCTTTGGGGGTCACAAATAAGATATCCTATATATCAGATATTTAAATTACAATCCATAACAGTAGCAAAATTACAGTTATGGAGCAGCAATGAAATAATTTTACGGTTGGGGGTCACCACAACATGAGGAACTGTATTAAAGGATGGCAGCATTGGGAAGTTTGAGAACCACTACCCTAGGGGGAGGCTTCATTCTTTGCATTACCCTCCAGGAGTCAGGCTCCTGATCCCTCCTGGCTGATGCTGGCTGGTCTAAGAGGGGACAAAGGCTATTCACTGCTATCTTCCCTAAATGCTATCTGCAGTCCACCTACCCTTGTCCAGCTGACTCAATAGGAACCAGGGTAGACACAAGTTACCCATGGGGTGCAAGGCCACAGCCACTAGGAGAGCCCTTTGCTATCCAGAAAAAGAATGCAAATCTCTCAGTCAGCCTTTTCAAATCCCATGCTCTATAAGCACCTGGGGGGCTTCCCCCTGCCATTCCTTCTGACATGACTGTTAACAGGTTTTCTCTGCCAAGAGGTCCTCACACCCAGAAACAAAGGAGAGGCTCCTGAAGCATCCCATCCTGCAGCAAGTGGAATGAAAGCCAAACCCTCCAGCACATGCCACCTAAAGCCCTGGTGACTTCAGGCCTCTACAGAGACATCCCTGCCCCCATCCCCACTTTCCCACCATGGCACTCTTGGTTGCATCCCCAGATCTGGGAAGGACCTGGAAAGGTATCTGCTCCCTTCTTCCCACCTTCCTTCTTCAGGGGAAGAGAATCCACCCCACCTGTGGGCCCACTGTTTCAGTCAATGGTGATACCACCTTCCACTTCTTGGAGGACCATATCTCAGGAATACAGTTTCTCTGATCCTTAACTCCTACCCTCAGTGCAGTGGCAGAAGTCAGTGACTGCCCTGGTCTCCATGTGGCTGTGTGTAGCACACGGTGAACTCTTCGCTGATTCATGGTACCCTCCCCACCAGGAACTCTTATGAGCATGTAGTTTCACGAGCCTAGGTAGATGAGAAGCCTCAAATTCAGCCTGAGGTAGAGGGAAGCTTGGCCACACCTGATCTTGAGACAAAATGGATAGCCGGCTGCTTTCCAGGTCGCTGTGCGTGCTGTCCCAGGAGCTAGCAATTCTGAGCCCTAGGCCTCAAACTGTCTTCCAAGCCAGAAAGGATGGGCCACTTACTGCAGGGACCAGTTCTGCATGCCAGGGTCTACTAAAAAGCCCTCAGACAAATACCAGATATATAAAATAGGTGGGTCCTTTGTTAAAGGGAAGGGGCAAAAATTATCATTAGAAGTTTAAAATAGACAGCTTTACCCTCTCTACCACAGTCTGTCCCTCTCCCTCCCTCTGCTCCCTCTCTCTCTCCTTCCCTTCCTCTTTCTCTCTCTCTCTCCCCCTCTCTTCTTCTCCCTCTCTCTTGATTTGCAATGGTAGCATTTACATTGCTGTTTAGTGTTCTAGGTTTAAACAAAAAAATAAAAGCCTTAAGCTTGCTGTGGGAGCCAAATGGTAGCATCATACAAACTATGTGATGCTTGAGGGTAACAAAGGCCTGGCCGCAGACGCTCACAGGACATGTATCTCCTCTGCCCCTGTGTATACTCCACCACCCTCTTGGTGTCAGGACAACCGCTCTGGCTGCACACCCATGAAGTCAGCCTGGCCTCAGAAAGAGACTCTAGATGCACTAGAACACTATCAAGGAAATGGCAGGGGAGGACACTCAGTTTACAATCAGGAGGGCCAAAAGTAGACGTGAGTACTCTACCTTGATCCTCCTCTTTGGGTGAATGCTGGGCATGTTGGTAGTTGTCTGACTGAACTTCCCAGAGAGCAGAGATCCATGGGGCTCACATCAGGGTCCCTACCCAATTCTGTGCCCCACACTCTCACTCCTTCCTCAGAACAATCACAGCTGGGTTATCACCACTGTCTGGGCCATCCTTACCTCTAGTGCTTCAGTGAGGAAACTGGAAATGTGAAGCATGTTTAGTTTTCACCCCAGGCTCCTGCTCTCTCAGCTAAGAACCCCTGCTTATGCTGCATTTTGAAGCAAACATTTAGACAAAGCATAAAACTCCACTCACCTTTCCTTCCTGAATTACCCTGGCTCAAGGGCTTGTCAGTGACTGGACCTTGGGCAAAAGAGGAGACAGAAGCACAAGGTTCAGATCGGACTGTGGTTGGTTTTCATCAAACACTTGGCAAAGCCTGATGTTATGAACACATGGTCATGTATATATGTATTGTATACACACCGGGGATATTATATACAAAGTTAGTGTGCACATGCATGTCAAGTGGGGTTTGTTTAACATCAATGTCACTGATAACCCAGACTGTTTTGAGATGAACTATGATTTCCAGGTTCCCTGGAACCAATCTTGCCTGGGTTTTTATAAAATTCCACATCCATGTAACTCAAACATTCCAGTATTCGTCCCCCACATATATACCTCTGCAGACCTCTTCTTCTCACCAGCTCCATGCTCTGACCCACATCCAGTCACCAGGGCCAACTAAAAAGAAACCCCCTCTTACTGAAAATGCAATGATTGACATCCCTTGCTGGTCAGGGCAGGAAATGGGTGATTTTCCATCTGAGTTAAGTAGAAAATTGTTGGCCCAATTGTACTGAATGGGCCAAACAGTCTGAGGCATGGAAACAATTTTCTAGACACAGCCTGTTCTTCAAGGAGGGGGCAACCTGTATGCTGGCCAAATATTTGCCAAGTCTCCTCTGGGATGTCACATGCACCCATCATTCAGGCCTGGCGCTGTGACACCTGCCTTCTCCTTAAAGCCGAATGTCTCATGTGCAGGGAAAAACCTACTCCACAGAAAGAACTCTGTAGAGAGCCTGAGAATTCTGACTTTCCTAGCCCATATTACACTCCTTCTCCATGTATCAGCTCTATGAGTTCTGTTATCTTATTCTGCATGGGGCTTGTGTCTAATGCATTTGTTTGCTTTAAATGAAGCCTTCCAGGTCATTTGCAAGGAAGGCCAAGTCCTCCTCACCCTAACCCAATTAAGGTTTCCAGTTTCTATATAAACCACAAATAAACTAAACTTCCCCTTTGGCCTGTAAATTTTGATCCTTAACATACCTTCTTATATACATTCCTATTACCCATGCCACTTACTTTCCTTCTTAAACAGAAGGGCAAGTTTTGTTTTGTTTTGTTTTTTAAGAGAACAAATTATATTTTAAAAAATTTAAAAACCAGCAAAAAGTTAATATGGACTGAAGGCCTTTGGAACTAGGTTTCAGCATAAAGTTTTATACTTTGCTTGCACTTAGAATTGGGGATAAGTAAAGATGCACCCCTACACACAGTGGATGGGTTGAGACTGGCTGTTTTAAGGGAGTCCTTAAGAGGGTTACCAATGAGAGGGAAACATGGGACTTGTGTGAATCCCACAAAACTAACCTACCAGCAAACTGTAAGCTTACAAAGTTAGGAGTAGAAAATACAGTCTTTGTTACAGATCCACCCAATGGATCATTATCAAAGTTGTCCAATTATCAAAAAAGTCTCATAAAGACAAAGGATTCCTGGTCCATTCCAGATTTAGTACCTACTAGCCAAAATATTCAAAGAGAAGCTTTGACACTTGGAGTCTGTTTAGTCTCCCAGGCACTGCAGATGACCAGCTAGACTTACGATTCACTGTTAAAACCATCTTCCACTGTTGTTCATTACAATATTCAAGGATGGCAAAGATGTGAGAGGAAAGCTAAGACTCCCCTTACCTGTGTCCATGACAGACATCACTAATTAACCACTGAAGCCTTTGGTGTTCAACTCTCATGCAACTTCAAAATCAATACCAATAATGCACTGCAAGGCCCACTACAGGCAGCAAACAACAAAATCCTAGATGTATGTCATCTCAGATCTAAGGGAGTATAGCCAATGCTTAGGGAAAGAGCAGTGGACCAGAAACATAACTCAAAATAAATAAATATACACACACCGTCACTGATGGACACTTTTCATCAAGCTGACTACAGAGCAAGCGTAAGGTAGAACCCTTCTGATCTGGGAAAGGGCTCATTTACCACACCAACCCTTTCAAGATTTTCCTGAAAGATTCAGAGCCCTACCAACATTTTCCATCCAACACTTTTCATTCCTCCCACCCCTTCCTACGGTACCTGAACATACAGGAGTTTTATTCTGCACAGAAGAGCCACTTATGGGCTTCCCATCTGGGGTGACACACCAGCAGTACCCCGTGTAAGTATGGCACTGCACCTGTTCGGAGAAGTGGACAAGGAGGAGAATCATAAGTCTCAGGTCACATTCAATCGCCCCCTCATCCCTTTCCCAAGCATCCGTCCATCAGAAAACCTCCCTCCACCTCCCCCTCCCACATCCATCCCAGGACATCTCTCACAGGTGGAACGGTCAGGCAGTTCCAGCATCAAGGCCATGTTTGCTTTATGGCCCCTGTGTACAACCACAGCAATTACCTGCTTCTTTCTTACAACTCCAAAGACTTAGCATCTGCCAGCCTATGGGGAAAGGTCCACTGCAGTTACCCCGTGATACATTACTCAAATACCTGTACTTTCTCCCAGAGCTGGCATATGCTCCTATCCAACTGTAAAAGAGTCTGAGAGAGAACCAATTTGAAAAGTATCTGTGGGAAAGTCACCACTAGGGATTGACAGGGCCAGGGCCCTTCTTGAACAAGTAGAGACAAATCTTAAGTTTTCCTCATAAGCAACATAGTGGCATAAGCAACATAAGCCTGCCTGGTGAGAACACAGCTCTCCCGAGACCAGGTCAGAGCCCCCTTGTGCCTGTAGGATTTTCTGATAGAAGCCCTGCTGGACCACAGGGTTATCTTCCAGCCTGTAGGATCAGAGCTGGTTAATTAAAGCAAGGCTCTCTTTTAATCTTCCAGAGTAGTTTTATTTCTCCTCCAATAGCTGTTACCTTACCTACCTTCTCTTGTCCTACATATTGCCTCTTCCCATCTGTTTTCTCTGCAGTCAGTAAACACCTATCAAGACAGATTGCCTTGTGTAAAAGTCCTCAATGGTTCGTTTTTTGGACTCAAAGATTAAACTCATCTCCATGATAATTAAAGGTCCCCAACAATCTGTCCTTGCCCATTCTCCTGGTGTCATTTTTACACCCAAGGCCCCACAAACTCCCTCCGCTTAGGTCACAACGCACCCTTTGATGTCCCCAGACACAGTCTCATTTCTCTTGGTTCTGAGCCTTTGTTGGCCCCAACCACTCAGTTTCTACACAACACCATCTCAGGCCACCTGCTCTTAACCTTCTCCTAATCTCTTCGTGATACACTTTCTCCTCAAAGCCAGTCACAGTTTCTCTAAACCCTTCCCCAAATCCAGAAGCCTTCCCATGGCAAGCTAGTGATCTCGAGCTGTTGTTCATCTGGTGGGTCCATCTTGTCTCTCTACATTATAACTTTAAGGACTGCAAAGTAATTATTTCAGAGTCCCCAGAATCTAGTAGGAGGCTGACATCTTATTGCAGGTGACTGATGGGTTGAGTGAAGACATGGATTCCCATATTTCCTCCATTCTAGGTCTCCCATCAACTCCAAAATGCAACATCAATTTTAAAAAGCCATACCCATGAAGTGTGTATTTCAATGACAAGATGTGTATGCCAATTGAAAAGAGATTAAAGTGTGAAAAAATATGCCACTTGGGATCAAGGACATATTGGAACTGAGGCCAGGCAGTAACTGCATACACATTGAGTAGAGGGGTATAGAGATAGTGAAAGGAGCAATCTTGCAGCCTGGTGGGAGCCAGAAGTTAGTTAGCGCTAAGGCAAAAAAAAAAAAAAAAAAAAAAAAAGTTATGGAAAGTATTGCATTCTTGTGTGCATATCAAACACTATAATCCCCCCAAAAAACAAGTTTTTTAACCCTAAGCCTGTCCACAGATACCAGGGTAGAATAAAATAGTCTCTTGTTCCTCCCGTGGTTGCTATCAAATGGAGCACTTGCTCACATCTCTGTGGGGACACAGCCTAGTGCACAGAACCCAAGCCACACTGTGCTTCTTCATCTTATAGCACTGTGACACCAAGATGCTCACCCACAACCACATCCCAGGTTTGGTAGCACTACTTCCTAGTGAGGCCAATGGTGGGATAGAAAAAAGTCAAGACAGGCCAGGGATTGAATCCTAGTCTAGGCAGTTACAGATAAGGCACATTCCTAGTTCTTCGAGCCTCCTCTATGTAATGTGGATAATAACTATCTAAGCTGAAGGGCCCTGGTAAGGTAGTCTTACATCTGGCATGTGGTGAAAGCTGTTATAGAGTGGTCATAGCAGTTACTTTGTTCTCAGTCAAACCAGCAATACCTGCCAGGTGTCTCCCCATAGGCCAGACCTCCTCTAGTAACCTTCACAGGTGTGGGTGGAAAGTGCCTCTGGAAACTTGGCTTCACCTGCAGCTCACATAGCCCTGCAGGGGATGCTTCCTAGAGCTCATTCCTATCCAGGGACAGCATTTAAATGGAACTAATGGGATCTGGCTGGCTGCTTTCTCCACTTTGGCCAATAGTCACCTCTAGGGAACTGTCCCAAGGGCTGAGATGCCAAGCTGACTCACTCCTAAGCTCTGAAAGCCCACTGCTGAGTTGCTCACATGAGAACTGTGCACCAGGCAACATCCAAGGCCATGCCTCAGGCCAGATGTTGCATGTTGCAGGAGGGACATTATGGTGGAGCATGCTGCAGAGAACCAAGCTGTTTGAAAGCCCTGTTCCCAGGGTATGCACAGAGTTCCGCCTAAGGTTACTAGGGCAGAATGGGACACATGAATAAAAAGCAAGGCCCAGAGCTTTGTTTCAGGGAATAAAATCTGACCTCAGGGCCCAGGGGTCCACGGGCCACATTCTTACTCAGTATACCCATTGTCTCCCTATGTGCACATGGGCCCTGGCGAGGCCCACAGAACCAAATACAACTCCTTTCTCCCCAGAGTCCTCAGCTTTTTCTTCCAACCATGCTACAAGGAAAAGACACCAAAATACCAAAATCTTCAGGCTGGGAGTTGCTTCCAAATTCCATAACACTGAAACCCAATGAGGAATTATTGCCTAGTTCCTTTGAGGCCTTGGGCACGCCTGCCCCAGCTGTATTAAAAGGGGGTGGCAGGAGGGAACAAAAGAGGTCATAGGGACTCTAGTGGGGTCTCAGATTGGGGGAATTGTTGGAGTGGCTAAGCAAGACCTCTTTGCTGAAGAAACCATAAAGAGATTATCCATGATCCAAATTGAGAGGCTGTAAGTTGCCTTGGAGTATTTGCAGTCTGCAACTATTCTATTTGTCTAAGCTTCAGATAACTGCATTCACTTTAAAGGGGGAAATAATGGTAATAACACCCATCTTAGTTGTTGGGAGAGCTAATGAGGCAATATGAATAAAGCACAGATGTTGGCAGTAAGGACCAGGTGAACCTAGCTGTTCCAGGCTGTGTGGTTACAGAGCTTGCCAGATAAGCAGCAAACATGAAAACCAGAGTTCTGAGCCCCAACACTCATGTCCATATGTGGGGAGGGCAGCCCACCTGTAACCCAAAAGCAGAGAAAGAGAATTCCAGGGCAAATCAGCTAGCTAGACCAGTTGTATCAGAGAGCTCTGGGTTCAACTGAAGACTCTGCCTCAATGAATAAAATGGAGAAGTGACCAAAGAACACTCCCAACATCGACATCAAATCTACACATGAACACAAGCACACAAACACACACACACACACACACACACACACACACACATATGTGCATACGTGCACATGTGAGCAAACAGGCATACATGGTGCACATATAAACATGAAAAAATACTTAGTTGTTTATTCCTATACTTAATGTATATATGCAAACTACCCGTTCATTTTAAAAGTCAAGAACCAAAGAACATACACTGACTAGCCTGTGAAAAATGAAAGGTCTGAAATCAACAAAGTTTGAGAAAGTTTGGGCAGAGGGAGGAAGTTCATTTTATATAGAAATAGTTGCAATGCATTCAGTTACTGTCTTGGCAAGTCCTCAATAGGAGAATTATTTATGCAAATCTTTCAACTACTTAGAACAGCCCAGGAAGTTTAGAATTCTGGTCCAGAGAAACACAGCTCCTGGCAGAGAAGCAGTCAGATATAAGTTCTGTTGAACTGAGTTAGCTAGACACAATCAAAGCACACAGTGTGTCTGGTTTAGCTCCCCTTGAAAATACTCTGTTTCTTGAGAATCTCTAATTGACCTTTAACCAATAGGATATGCCCAGGCAAAGAGAAATTGACAAGGCCATTTCTAATATCATATGGATGTCAAAACTCAGGGTTGTCCCAGCCCCACAAATAGATAAAAGTCTAGAAAATGGCTCCCACCCCACTCTAGAGCATCCTGCAGAGGCTGAAGTGTCAACTGGAGGGTCCTCCTTTGGAGACAACGTGTACACCATCCAAAATAAGGCTACTTCCTGCTTCTACTCCCAGGGTCCTGCTGGGTATGACTGGTATTCCTCCAGCAACTTTAAAACACTGTGCTCCTAGATAAATAAGTTCCATCTCTGACTCATATGCTTTAATATCATTGGCAAAAAGTCTTTTTGCATAAACAGGCCAGAGGTATATTGCAGTTCAACCTCCATTCAAATTAAGACATCAACATCAGTCCAACTCCTGACCACCCAGTGAGAATGTGGGAGGCCAGCACTTGCAACAAAGGCAAATGAGTGACCAGTGGGTAGAGAAAACACAGCTCATAGGAACAAGTGGGAGGAGAGTATGGAGAAAAATAGAGAGGCAGATGGCAACCATCACCCACGGATGCCAAGTCCCAAGTGGAAAATATCACCTTCAACTTTGACAACAGCTTTTCAGTCCCTAGTGGTCTCTGCATGACCTCATTTGGGCCTCAAAGTTATTCTCTTTGGAAAGTTCTTGATAGGAGAATTATTTATGTAAATTCTATAACTAGTTAGTAACAAGACAGGAAATTAGAGCCCTGATATCCCAGTCTTCATAACATTTCAGAACCACAGAAAAACCCTTAGAGTTCACCATTTTAGCCCAAACATGTTACAAGTGAGGATACAAAGAGGCCCAAAGACAAAGACATGTGGTCCCCATCCCTACTCCAGTCTAGGGGAGAAGGAGAAAGGAGATATTTATAGCTGCTAGTGTCTAGGGATCTGAGTCTTTGTTGTTGTTGTTCTTTGGGCATGGAGGCAGATGGAGGCAATGATTCTCATAGAGAGGA